GATGAGTGAGTGGGAGAGGGGAAGCACTGGCAGACAGGGAGGGGTGACACCATCGCTGAGATTAGATTTAATTGACGACAAGAGATAGGGAGAGGACGACCACTGTATGTATTCATTGAGACTTTTGCCGATACGTCGACTGCTTTTTTGTGCGCCAAAAGAGTGTTTAAATATTTTTAATGGGCTTTAAATTATGGCTATTTTTAGTGCCAAAAGCGATACAAACGCGCGTAAAAGTGTTGTTTAGTTTGCAAACAATTGCTGTAATGAATGCAATTTTGCACCGATAGTCAGGGCAGACAATACGGTGTGAGTGCACTGGTGTCTCGTATAATAGCCATTTCCAGTCCATAGCATCTCCTCATTGCCATCTCCTTCCGGTTAAGTCGGCTTTCGCTCAAAAAATAGCTCATAGACTGAGAGACAGAGAGATAAATAGAGGGATCGACAGAATGTCGACGTAAATTAGGTTGTGTTGGGCTTACATCTGCTCCCAAACACAGTTAGTGGCGGTCGTGTCGGTGTATTTACCGCCGGTTTACTGTCTGCCACTTCTGGCAATACTTTTGAGTTCATCCGCCAGAGGAGAGTGTCTTAACTCTTAGGTAACGCAACCAAAACGACTGGTGCTGTAGTTGTGGTGATCGTGGAGTTGATGTGATAGTGAAAGCCATAACCAGTCAATACAATCATAACAAGCAATGGATGAGAGAGAGAGAAAGAGAGAGAGAGAGAGAGAGAGAGAGAGTCAGGCAGAGAATGACAGACAGAAAGAAAGGCAAATAACACACAACTTATTGCGAACACAACTTTTGCCCATTTTTTCCGGGAAAATGTCAGTCAGAATGCGAGGGAGAGATAGCGAGAGAGAAATGTTATGAAAGTGAGAGAGTGAGTGCTATGGGGATAGGTATGGGGGAGGGCAGCCAAAAAAGATTGTATTGCTTTCCACGGCTGATACTTATATGACCGGATGAATAATTCAATCGCTGTTTGCTGTGCTCTCTCTCTCTCTCTCTCTCTCTCTCTCTCATCCATTGCTTGTTATGATTGTATTGACTGGTTATGGCTTTCACTATCACATCAACTCCACGATCACTCTCTCTCTCTCTCTCTCTCTCTCTCTCTCTCATCTCACTCTCACTGTCGATGTGTGAGAGCACAGGCAGGCAGAGCACAGGCAGATATTCTGGTATCGATTTGTGAAGTAATGTAACACTCTTTAGGAGATGCTGTAAGAGTTGTGCAGCGGTTTTAATACACAAATAGAGTGCACTTCTAATAGCGCTCACAATTGATGGCTTCAACCAAACACTCACTGCTATAATACAGACTTATATTCACTACTCTATTGCTGTACAGAATATCATATAATATGCGATACAGATATATATTTCGCTAACAAACAGTGGCGTAGCCCTGTCCCTCACCATCTCATAGCCTTTTATTATGTAATAACCCAGAGATGAAACGGGGGGTTAACTGGCAGAAGGGAATCGACACTAAATTATATGCATAGACTGTTCGCAGATATACTGCAATATATAATAGTTTATACACATTGTGTGCACTAATACTTTGTTGAGTTGTCTAAGCGTTTATGCGATCGTATGTTATAATGCATTATAAAAGTCGCCGTAATATCTCTCTCTTATATAATACTGTAGTTTAGTATTGGTTTCGATTGTCTGATGAGTTAGCAGTGAATGAGTCGAGAGATCTGTCGTTAGGGTTAGGCTGTAGTGCGAGCTCTGATGGATGGCTGAGCTTTTAGACCGTCGACACCGAGTGCTGTTCCGTACGAATGGCATCGCCTTTTGTGTTGGGCTGTCGTTGTCGTCAGTAGTGATTACGAGAGAGAGAGAGAGAGAGAGAGAACGAGAGAGAGAGAGAGAGAGAGAGAGAGTCTTCAAGGAGAAAGAAAACATACATTTTTATGATAAAAAACTTTTACATAACTAACATATTTTGTTAACTACATGTATATACTATTGTAAAACTATTGAATACCTTAATGAAGACGAACTACTGTTTTAACAAAATATTCCCCAAAAACCCATAATTCTTGTTAAGCCTTATCTCACAATTTTCTGTTCAATATTTATAAAGGAGTATAAAAATCAAAATCTTCTTTTAAAAAATACTCTTCACTTTTGCAATAATTTTAAAAATATTTTTATCTTAAATGAAAGCATAGTTAGTGTTAACTTATATACTTATATATATTGATGCATTTTAATAGTTAATTATGTGAAAAGAGTAGGCATTCAATTCACTTTATTATTATCGTTTGCACTGCTATTAAAGCCAACAGGATTTGAGGCGGAATATCAATACACCTAAACGAGTATTTCAAGAGCACACGGCTTTTTAAGCCTTTCCTATTTTCAATGTTAATTAGAACTCAGATATATATTAGGGAGAGAGAGAGAGAGAGAGAGAGAAGAGAGAGAGAGAGAGCCAACAAACTATCCCCGCATTAGACAATCGCTGAAGTCTTTGAAAATTAAACTCAGGTTTAGGTTTAATATCCTTTGCGCTCTTCGTTCAGCGTTTGGCCACAAAAAACTTCAACACATTTTCAAAACTCAAGACATGCTCTCAATTAAACTCCAGAAAAAAGCTCCAAAACTATTCGCTTAAGTTTGCAGACCTTAAGAGGCAATGAATTATTTATTATTGAAACATCAATTTTTTGTCCAAAAAAATCTGTCAATTAATAACCAAAATCTTATTTTTTTAATTGACAGCTATTTTATTCGCGTTATCAATGGTATGAATAAAATGAGAATTCCTTTTTATTTATGATAATATTATTTAGTAGTAATAAAAGTTTAGATAAAAGTTATAATTTGTTTCGAGATTTCATACAAAAAAATGTTAGACTAGAATACTCGAGACATTAAATGTAATTAAAATTCTTGTCAAAAGCATATTAAAAACTGTTTCCATACCTTTGCTATAAATAATACTTTTAATATTTTATTAGAAAAATATTAATTTTTATAAATTTATTATTGATTTATTGATTGAACGCAATATAATATATCACTAAAAGTAATGGGAAGTTGAAAATTAATTGAAAATATTGTTGTTATTGAAAAATGCAAATTATTTTCAAAACATCTGTGTTGGAGTCCAATGAGAAAAGTATTTATTAATTTAAAGTATTTATATCAACACCTTATGGTGAGGGGTAGTGTTTGCCAGCCAACTGTGCTCGCAGTGTTGGGCCAAACAGTGTGGGCTAACTCCCTAATATCAAGTCATTATCACTGATAATACCTAAAGTATCAAAGTCTTAAAAAAGGACCGGGATACCGAAGGTTAAGCTGTGAGGTGAACATCTCAACCCACTGTCAACTCATTACATAACATATCATTCAAAACACTATCTAATTGTGCTTTTAATAGAGTTATGCAATCGTATTACAATACAAGCGATTCTTTACGTAAAATCAATAGTTTTTCAATAAAAAGCATTTATTGAGTGATAAAATAAAATGAAAAGATAGAGAAAAGCTTTTTAATTGATTACCTGAAAACAGTTGCGTCGAGACTTTATATCGCAATCTATTGACAATGAAATGGCAAATAAAAAGTGAATTTCAATTAAATAAATTAAAAAACCATTTAAAGAAAACAAAAACAAATGTATTCTTAAATAATAAAAATTGCTGTAAATTATGAATTCATATTCTTATATAAAATGTCATGTCTTTCACAGCTTTTACATAAAACGTGAATAAATAGCGAATACATAAAAGATTTTGCAAACAAGCTTTAATGCCATAAATGACATTGAATTAAAGCCTAACTATCAAACCATTCAATGTTATTAAGCGCTTAATAAATGCCAAAAAGTTTTCGAAACAAATAATATTATTCTTTAAGTATTTACTAATGTTTTCATAACTTTATTCAATAAGACAACAAAGTATTGGCAAGAAATGGGATTACATTCAGGAATTGTTGAGTATTTTTATTATTTAGGTATTCGTGTCTTCGGTTACAAAAATAAGTTGTGATTTGAAGGCATTTAGAGATTATTTGTGGAAAAATTGATGAATCATATGATAGTAAAACGATGTGATATATCATTGAATCATAAGTTTTTCTCAGAAGTATTTGCTTTTATACTCACTCTTATAGACAATGACTTTGAATGCAAATCATTATTTAGCATAAAATAAAATCAAAACTCATAATAAACACTATAATTATTGTAATATTGTTATACTAAAAATGCCAATCAATCAAACACCAAGACATAGCTTACATATACTTAAGAGACAAATGATATTCAATAAAGAAAAGCATAAAATAAATAAAATTAGAAAATAAAATGCTTATATTTTTATCTCACACAATGACTTCATCATCTGAAACAAACACTATATATAAATAAAAAGCACTTTAACCTAAATTCTGATTGAAATCTATATGAAAACACACATGTAATTAATATTGAAATAACTAAAACAAAAGCATTGAATGCGAAAACTGTTTGGCACTTCAATTGGTGTCGATTTGAGTTGTCATTGAATTACAATTAATTGCTTATTAATATAATTGGGATAAATGGCATAAGTAATAAAAATGCTTTTTATGGCAATTACACACAGTAGTGAGTGGGGACAGTTTATTTAAATAAAATAAATCTTTAAATTTAAAATGTTTAAATAGGCGCATAGCATTACAATTGAAAGGAAAGTAGCCAGGTCTTTTGGAAATGTGGGCGTACAGGCCATTAGCAAGTGAAGTAAAGTATAACTTATTTTATCATCGACCCAATGGTCCACTATATTAATGGCTCATATAATTTGCACTCAACCCACGGGCACTCATACGAGATGTACACCTGTTTAATGGCTTTTCATAAATTAGATTCAATGATAACCGAAAAAACTGATAAAATATGAGACAATCGCTACGAAAAAACTAAAACTTTTGGCACAAACTTCACACAAAACTCTAATACACTAATCGCCAACAGATGTCATGTGTTTGTATGGAGTGTTGGATGTGTTGTACGGAAAACACACAAAACATGCAAAACATTGCATAAGACGTTGAGTGCATTGAATGCGAGCCTTAATTACATAACAATTAATGAATTAATAAATCAAACGATTAGTGGACAACACGTGCGGACACAGACACAGACAATGTCGCGACAAAAGGTGGACACGAGTGTCAAACAGGAGGACGTCATACAAGCGGTGATCATCGCCGACAGCTTCACCGCCCGATTCGCACCCATCACTCACTTCAAGCCACGGGTGAGTCAATGATCACCGGAAACGGATCCACTACTTCGCCACCGCACTAACACTGATATCTCTATGTCTCGGATCAGGTTCTGCTACCATTAGTGAATCGACCGCTTCTTGAGTACACTCTCGAGTTCTTGAGTAACGCCGGAATAGACGAGACATTTATTTTTAGTTGTTCCCATTGGCAGCAAATCAAACAATTCGTGAGGTATGCCCTCAAAGACATCCCATTCCCACACCCATCGCGTCACTGATGCCAATAAACTCTTGGCTCTTGTCTCTTGTGACACCAAATTAATGCACTATTTTTTCTTAATCACCATTTCATTGATATTAATCTCCCGATTGATCCCAATCTCTGACAGCGAATCCCAATTCAGTTCAGACAACAGCTCGATGTCTGTGAAGGTCTTCGCCGCCGAGTCCTTCCAGTCGATGGGCGACGCGTTACGCGAATTGGACGCAAAGGCTGTCATTAAATCCGATTTCATTCTAATTAATGGCGATTCTGTGGGTAATCTGCCGCTGAAGGAGATCAGAGCTCAGCACAAGTCTGTGTCCATCACTTTGTCTTCATTTTCAATACTCATTAAAACAATTGATTTGTTGTTTGACTTAAAGAAACAATCGGTTGAAAGACAAGGGATGTGTTATGACGACTGTCTTCAGGCGCGCCAAACCTCACCATAGGATCAGATCCATGGAAGACGAGTTCGTCACTCTTGTCGACTCAGACACGCAAAAGATCTTACATTTCGAGAGAGTTTTGAATAATAGGAGACTTCAGATACCATTGGTTTGCATTGCATACAGATTATCACTTAATTGGCACACAATTAATGGTATTTTCGATGAAATTTAGTGTAAATTTCAAGACAATCCAAGCGTTGACATCCACCACGACCTCCAAGACACTCATATCAGCATCTGTTCCATCAATGTTCCGCCACTTTTTACCGATAATTTCGATTACGAGACCAGAGATCACTTCATCGATGGTATACTAGTTCACGAAGAGGTGTGTAATACAGTATATGGTAGATGTGAACTCATTGCCAGCACCGGTACTAATCTCTGCGTGTTATTTGGATCAGTTATTAGGGAATTCAATATACGCACACGTGGTGGACACGGGCTACTGTGCCCGAGTGAACAACATTACCAGTTATGACCGCATCAGTAAAGACATATTACAGCGCTTTACACACCCGACTGTCCCTGAGATGCAGATCATGTGCTCCTATCAAAGGCATAACATTTATAAGAAAAATGGTGTTCATCTGGAAGTGTATGCTATTTAAATGTCTTTCATTTGTTGTCTCATTTGGTGATAATGTTTTTGATTGTATTCATCAGAGACACAAAGATTAAGGAGAACGTGGCCATCGGAACCGATACATCGTTTGGCAGCAAATCGTATATCACGAACAGCACCGTTGGGTCCAACTGTCGGATCGGCAAAAATGTTAGGATAGAAGACAGTTATATATGGGATAATGTGGTCATTGAAGACAATTGTGTACTCAATCAGTGCATTATTGCAGACAACGTGCACTTAAAGCCAAATGTGACCATAAGTGGCGGTTCCCTTATATCATATAACGTGGTGTTGGGACCAAATGTTTCGCTCAAGAAGTTTGTTCACATTATTTACGACCCGAACGAACAAAACGATAATTTCGACACAAGTGTTGTCGGAAAGGAAGGCAAAGGAGTTGTTTATGTGGAGGACAGAGACGACGACTCCGAGGAGGAGGAGGACGTCATCCAAGAGATATGGGGTGAGAGTGAGGATGAGAACGATGAGGACGACGACAAGTTGACCACAAGTACCACATTCTCGGATAACTCGTCAGATGAGGACCGCATCGACAACGATATGATCGACGATACAAGAGGTGAGCGAATGAGATAATTGTCTTTTATGACCACAAAACTCACGATTGTGTCCATTGTTTGCGAAGTGTTTTACGACGAAGTGGTCGACAGTTTACAGCGGGGTATAAAAGAGAGGGTCGTCTGCGATAACCTCATACTCGAGATAAACTCATCGAAGTATAGTCTAAGCGATTGTTTGTTGCGATATATGCTTATAATAATCATCTTTTCATTGTATTGTCAGACATGCCTATAATGTCCCGATGAAGGACTTGAATTTCTTGGTGATTAAAGCCATACTTGATTTGCCTAACAGTGCTGTTAATCCCAGCGCATACTTCGCGCAATTAAAGCCTTCTTTAGACCATTTGTTGCCTTTAATCAGAAATTATATTAAAAGCAAAGAATCGCAAAATGATTGCATCGAAGCCATAGAGGATTACTGTCTGAAGGATTGCCAGCGAATCACTCCAATAATGTTTGTGAAACTCATTAACTATTTGTACGACAATGAAGTGCTCAGAGAGGATGTTATCCTCGAGTGGCACACAAATGCCAAACCGTTGCCTGAGTTAGATCTCGAGGAACAGGAGTCGTTGAGGTCTCACAAAGCCATTCAGGGATTCATTCAATGGCTGACCGAAGCTGAAGAGGAGTCGTCCAGTGATGATGAAGAATGAGCTTTGTTTGACTATTGGGTCGCTATTTAATTAATGATAATTGAATTTTCAATCAATTATAAAATTTATTTATTGATTTACCAATAAAATAATTATAATTGTTTTTACAGTATTTCTTTTTTAATTATAAAATTTATTTAGTTATAAAATCATTTTAAAAATTATTATACATTTTGATGCAATAATAATTGCAATTCTTAAGTGAAATAAGTGGAGAGGATTTGTTTGTGTCGATTCTGGCATTGTTTGAGCTTTTATTAGATAGTAAAAGTCATTGACATTTAAAAAATATAAAATTTTTGTCAAAAATAGTACGGTATGTAATTTGACAAATAGATGTGTGATTCAAACAATCGGTTAAATTATTATATTCATTTGATTCAAAATTACGACAATTATTATTATTTCTAAATAGACTTCAAATTATGGCATACAATAAGAATGGGATTTAAATTTAATATGAAATTCAAAAAATGAAAAAGTTATGAGATTTGATGAGATTTAGTTTAACATGAAATAGGATTAGAGGCAACACTGGGCTCAACATTATAGTGAATTTTAACAGTTAATTAATTTCTATTTTCTATTATAAAGTGTATATTTTGTACATAAAATATGGACAAAAACGACAATAAAAGCACATTTGGTATAAAAAGAGAGACAAAAAGCGATTAACATTAAGGAGATCACAAAACATGAAACATAAGTGACTATAAAATTAGTACATTATATCGTCATTAGGTTTAAAACACATAAAAATTAACATCAAATACAATGACAGGTATTAATACAGACGGACGACAATAGGGAACCACATAATTGACTCAAAAATATAGCACATTAATGACTGGACTCTTGTACTTCAATGTCTGGGACGGGTGTCTAATCCCAGCCCATCATTCCGCCTAACAGTCCTCCGGTGCCTCCCATTCCGAACTTATTGCCCAAAAGCAGTGATAACTTGCTTTTGATGCCACCGAAGCCCTTCATACCGCCGGTGAGCCCTCCGATGCCTGATATACCGCTGACGCCCGTAATGCCGCCCATCGTCGGGAACTGACCGCCAAATGTGGGAAAACTTGTGGCAAACTGTGGATTATTGAAGCCTTTCATCGAAAATGAGGGCAGAGTTGACATAATGGGTATTTGCGGCCTAAAGTTGGCCATCATTTTGGGGTAGTGTTGGTTCCCTTTCGGTCGCAGTTTTCCCTTTTCTGTAAATAATTTGTAACAAATTAACTGCAATTCAAAACCATTGGTGTGTTTACTGCAGACCATAGCTGTCAACCCCATAGCCATCGCCGCCGCCATAGCCGTCATTCTGTGGCCTATTGTAGGGCGGGTTCTGCCCGTAACCCCCATTGGATTCGTAATTGATTTGATTGGAGTGGGCGTACCCGGAGTTCTGACTCTCCTGTCCATAGTTTCCTGAGTCCTCAAAGTTTTCTGAATTCATTACAAAATTAGACAAAATTAATCAAAACTATTATTTCAAGTCAACTGTAGTTGTCTCACGAGTTTGTGGCAAAGCGTTGCCAACAGCGGCGCCGTAAGCCATACCCAGATTGGCGTCATTTCCATAGTTTGTCGGCTCTTTGGGACCGTTGTTTGCGAAGCCCTCCTGATTGGCAAACATGACATTCTGTTGGCCACCCGCCCAGCCCTCCGGTCCACTCGACTTCACGGAGTCGTAGCTGTTCTGATTGGAAGCGCCGTAATTATCGCCATAACCACCACCTCCTCCTCCATACCCACCACTACCCCCACCGCCGATATTATTGCCGCTAAATGTGGGAACTCTTCCCTCACCGGGTATTCCATTGGGACCGTCATATCCCTGACTTCCTCCTCCACCCCCTCCCTCACTATACCCTCTCTCACCGGTATTGTAGCCATCGTTAGGACTCTGAAGAACCTTCGAGAGCGGCACCTGAAGTGTGCAATCAATTCATGAGTTATCATTCATTTCTGTATAAATTTGTGGTTAGAGGTCAGACCTTAATGTATACAATTTGTATTTTCTTGGCTTTGCCTCCCTGTCCTCCCTGTCCACCCTTCACACCACCGGCGAAGCCATTCTGTTCGGCACTGGAGTCGCACCGGACGACTGCCACACATATGAGTAGTACTAATGCTGTCGACGATAACTGCAATCAAAGTTAAATTGATTTGTTAGTCATTTGTCAACAAATGGTTATCTGTTTATAGATTTAGTGCTATTTTGTATGTAATCTGATCTCAGAATTAGATAACATTTTGAAGAATTAATACAATTTTTGTTGAGTTTTGGCTCATTTGCAAGAATTATGAGATTTAGGTCTCTCAAGAATTGCACGATTAGTATAGCAATGGAGTTCACATTTGCGACAAACTATTGCTTTGGTTTTGTTTCCCAAAAACACATATAATATCGTCTCAAATGACTTATTCTCTCGATTTGTAACCCATTTCTCAAAATAAAAGCACAAAAACACAAAAATTTACTTTCATTTTATGACTTTTATTAATTAATTGAGTTATAATTAATGAACGTTTTTCGAAATAACTATTTATATTACATATACATTCAATATTATAGTACCAAATTGTATTTAATATAAATTTAAATATGAAATAGAATTTATTCTATAAAATATTACAAGTATAAAATATACTATAGTCTAAATATCCATGTTATTCAAATATAACCGGTATAAATAATATTCCCGGTACTTCAAAAAAAAGTATCCGTAATTGATATTAGAATTACTAAATATTTATATAAACTATAATTCATTTAAGGAATTAAAGTATTATTTTAATGATTACAACACTTATATTATTTATTATACCAGTACAAATTACATACTATTGTAAAATAAATTTTAGATTTATAAATTAAAAATTAAATATTCTAATCATACAATTATTATATATAAAATGTTACTGATATAATTCTTACTAAATAGTAAATAAAGATCAAATTTTTAAAAATTTATTTAAGTCCCCCTCTCTCTCTCTCTCTCTTTCTTTCTTTCTCTCTCTCTCTCTCTCTCTCTCTCTCGCCTGAAGGAAAGTGCAAAATGTATATAAATTTAATTAACACTATCATGCTAACTTTGTTTTTTTGCTAAACAATTGACTTTTTGCTATTTTAATTAATGAAAAATTCGTAGTTATCATAATATTATACAATTACTAATAGTCTACTTGTTTGCGAATATGTAGCCATCAAATGAAATGAAATAAAATACTGCATTTAATTAATTGATAAGAAGTTTTATCACAAAAAAATAATATCAAAGAGAGATTGAAATTCCGTATAAATGGAGCGAAAATAAATTTGTATTTATTTTTATCGCAAAAATGTATGATTGAAATTCATTAAAATGTTTTAAAGTCTTTATAACAATTTATAAGAATTCTTAACATTAATTCTTTCATTATAAATAACTTTTAAGATATATGGCAAATAGTTTTTAATTTAAAGTTTTGTAAAAACTAATGTCAAAAAAGTGTCAGTAAATCACCGATAATTATATTCATTTAATGTTATTTAAGCGCAAAAATATCAGGAGTTTTAAATTTCAATTAGAGTTTTGATGCTAATATCATTGTAAATTATAATTTTTATTTTTTTATCACAAATGTCTGTTAGAGAGAGAGAGAGAGAGAGAGAGAGAGAGAGAGAGAGAGACTAGACTTTAGACTTTAGACTTTAATGTATGTAATTATCAATTAGTTAAATTGTGATGGATTATAGTTTGCCTAGACTAGACTAGAAAATATAATTTGAATATTTAAATTAATTCAGAAAGCTAATGACTTAATTGAATTATAAGTACTAATCATGAAATTGCAGTTTAATGTAATTTATATGACAAACACTTTGTTCACTCAATAATATTTTTAATATAGTGTTGAATATTATTTTTCATAAAAACTCTAATCAAATAAAAAGTATACATCTAATCAAATACATATAAATAGGTTTATCACTGTAGTAAATAAGGTTTATAAGTTAACGGTATATATATTTACGAAACTTTATCACACAATCATATGAAACTTTTGAACTAAACAAACAAAATAAAAGCCCAAAAATATCTAATTAAAATTAATTAATACCTTGAATTAGAAACTTTGTGTATCAGTGCTCATAAAATTCAAATAAATAGTTTTTATAATTAGAAATGCCTTTTATTTTACTAAAAAAGCATTTTATTTTTTAATCAACATAAATTTATGAATAAAAATGTATGTTTGTGGAGATCAATCACTGTTTATAACAGATATTACAAGCATTTTATGCGTAAAACTAATTGCAAATTAGGTTGTATTAAATTTCCAATAATTTTTGCCCAATTGAGTTATCATTTGTTTTGTTAGCTTTTATTTTATAAAGTTTTTTAAAAAACTATTAAATCAACAAAATAATGAACGTATCGCTCACACAATCAGTCAACTTATCGCTTATTAATTCATTTTTTAGTTTATTAATGATTTGATTATTTAATTTCTATCTATTTGTGTCTCTAATCAGTGATACATTAGACTTATAGTTATTGTGAGATTAATTGAATGCAATTTCTTACGTATAATATATATTTTAAGCTAAAAATATCCGATAAACCGGTAAAACACCTTATAATGAATTATTCATCATTTTCTCAATTCATTAATTCTTTGACTCTATTCTCAAAATACGGTTTTAAAAACTCATTTAAAAGGTACGAGAATTAAAATATTGGCCAAAAAAGCAAAAAAGCTTTTTATGAAAATGTTTGAATCAATTCTTACGGTATATACAGTGCTATAAAAGGATTATATGTTTTCTTGAATGCCTTTCATGTAAGGAACCGATCGATCAAATCATAAAACACGTCCCAAACGGCACTTCAATTGATATAATTTTTATCTCTTATGAATAAATATGAGCCAAATCTCGGCATTTTATCTCTCATTTGCGAAAACTACAGAAATATTTACTACATTTTATTGACCCGCATTGTTAATGTGACTATTATCCCGCACATAATTATGCTCGATTCAATTGTAGACGTAAATGTTACAATAAATAGAAAATTATACGCTTTTAATGTGTATACAAACAAACCATTTCAAAGCATTTCAAAACGATATTAATTTCCTCTAATAAGCATTTATGATAGACATTAAAGTTGTATATAATTTGTTGGAAATTAAATGCAAACCATTAGGAATCGGACCACACTTTCAACAAACTGGTCATGAATTTCGTAGAAAATTTATTGGACTCCAACTATACCTTTACACTTAAAACTCAATTAACAAAAATCAAATAAAAACCCCAATCGATTTTATACGGGTTTGAAAACTTAATTAAATGCCAATAAAATGACAAATACGATGTGTATGGGCTCATACTATATGACCTCTTTTTGTATTCACCCTTCAAATCAAAAATTTCTATAAATTAAACATAAGTTTTAGTAATAAAACTAATTCTCAACCAAATCTAATACCATTGAATAAGTGTGTTGAAAATTGTCCCGATAAAAAATTATTGGTTTGCATTTATAGTCGATCAATAACATCATTTAAATAAAATTAGTGCATTTAACTAAAATAAAATTTGAATTTTATTTGTAATTTGATAGTCAATAAGACCCATGTATTGGGCCATAAATTATTAAATCGATGGTTAATATAAGGAATTAATTCAATGCTTTTGATATAAATATCATATTCATGTAGAAAAGCATGAAATTTGTGATAAATTTGAAGTTTTTACATAAGAATTAATGTATTTTTGCAATATATTAAATATATTATTATTTTAATGAGAAGCTTATGCTAGTAATTGTCATAAACAACAATAAATACATAATACCTGTCCATCACTTGTTTTTTGATTGAGTATCAAAAGCTATGAATTTTAAAATTTGTATTATTTTCTAAACATTGAATATAACAGTAATGGAGATATTGATCACAAGTATTTGAAATACAATATTATGAATTGAATGGATTTATGATTTAATAAATTACACGCTAAATATATGATCGATAACTAAATTTGTTATAATTTACGGTGAATAATGTGTTGGATTTAAATTTTAAAATTGTTTTTCGCAGAAAATAACTTAAAATATTCCGCAAACAAAATTAATTTATATAATTTTTAATAAAAATGACAATTTCATAACGAAAAATAATATTTATTTATTGGGGCACAGTTTGCCATTACTTAATGAGATTTAATTTAAGTCATAAAACATTTTTGAAATTATTTATTGGATTACCAAATGCGATAATAGGATCAAGCAATTATATGATTTTAAACTTAATCTAAATTAAGGTCTGTAATGAATATTTAATATTAGATTATAACTTTACATTAGAATACACTGTAAAGATATGCGTTTCGGTGACAAAGTATTTTTCCATACGTTACTATCGTAACTTTTAATAAAAAAAAATTATCATTCATTAAAAAGTCACAAACATTTTCTATTAGCAAACTCATTAGAAATATTAAAGTTTTCAAAACAAGTTCATCGATATATTAATTAAAAAATTATTGATTTGACAGAAAAGAGTTTAATAAACTTTTTAAACTAAAAATAAATTCACTCTAAAATACGGGTGAAAACAATACAATTACATACCATTTCACTTGAATATAATATTATTAATCCAGAATTGAAAAACTTTTTGTCGTATGAATAGTTACGGACTCGTAGTGAGTGTTTCACATAAATCCCAACAAAAAACTTATTAATAAAACTTTGTTGTCGACAGAAGTTAGCAGAAGTTGACAAACACTGGGAGGCAATGCTTTTTATAGGATGAGATGCACTGAGAGGCAGTCGATTGTGGACTTAAAGTCTTGATCCGTAAGATTCACTACTTATTCACTTTGAGAGCGAGAAGTAGTCAAAAGTGATCCGCAGTTCACTGTTTGGGCTAATATTCAAATATCTCATACACTGAATGAGGACCAGTATGTTGAGGGCTATTGAGAGATGGGATGAGAAGAAACCAGTTCCTCAATCGGAGCTAATGTTCGGTACCGTAAGCATGAGATGAAGGCGCCAAATGTGGGCCAATAGCGAAAGCCTTACCCGCCGTCTCTCTCTCCATCTCTCTCTCTCTTTCTCTCTCCATCTCTCTCTCTCTCTCTCTCTCTCTCTACATTCAGTGTATGAGATATTTGAATATTAGCCCAAACAGTGAACTGCGGATCACTTTTGACTACTTCTCGCTCTCTCTCTCTCTCTCTGATGTTATTTACAGTTATTAAACATTTATTGGACTTAACAAAAGAGTCGGCGGCACCGGCTGTTGGCCCACATCACTAACCCATTGCTTGCTTATTGCCATTTTTGGATGAACTTCAACGCCATATGAAAGTAGACTACGGATCGAGTCTATAGTGTTTTCGCATAGAAATACAGCAAACATAGCGAACCGTCGCTAGAATTTCGGCTGATTTCAAGTCAAACACCATTTCAATAGCGATTTGATAAGAAAAATAGCGACTCTTTTCTGTTGGGATCATATTTTTTCGCTGCCAATAGATTTGGGTCACAATTATAAGTAAACTCTTAATTCTCACTAATTTTTTGACCTAAACTTACACTTTAGTTGTGGTGTGTATTAGGCGACCACACCATATGAATACATATAAAAGGTTTATCACCGGAAATAATTGCACTCAATTTGATTTCATAAAACACTCAGTAATATACCCAAAAATAATACCACTTATTATAGACTTATTTGAAATTATAAGGACTTTGAGGGCGAATAATATGTGAATTAAATACCAGAAAATAGTTATTATTATAGACGAGGCATGAGCTCTGATTTTTTATGCGAAAAGTTTAATATGTTTTATATTAAATGATTTATTACATTAAACTTAAAGATTGCATTTAATTGATTTTAAGACTGAAGAGGCAGATAATTGTCTTTTATATTATTATTTCATAGTTTTATTTTGTTTTCCGAAATAGTTTTCAAAAATTATTATAATTTACAAAAAGTTTTTGTTTAGAATAAGTGGTTCGGAAGAAAGTTCTGGTTTTATATACAAACAAAAAACTAGAAAAACATTTAAAATATAAATAAAATTATTATAAATATGAAAGAATTTTTTGAGAAATCCGCTAAACTTATAGTTTTTTATATATAATACAAAAAATAATAATAATAAAAGACATTTAAATAGCAATTCATTATTTTTCTTAATAACTTGTAGTTTAGTTTCTGTTGTCAAGTAAAACCTCAAAAGAATTTTTGGTTTTTATACTATTTTTAAGCATAATTTTTATGTAATTCATAAAATAGTAAAAATAAGAATAATACACAAAAATTGTTTAATATTTTTCAAATTAAATAACAGAATCACGTATTTTTTGGGAACAAATGAAAAGTTTTGGGTGTTTTGTTAATTGAGATTAAATGTTAAATATATATATATATATATAGCTAAAAAAATTATTTAATCTTTATTTTGCTTAACCGGTGTTTAAACAAAATTCATGAATAATTAAATAAAATAAGATATTTTCTACTAAAAAATCCATAACTCATGAAAATGTTGGTATAAAAGTAATATTACTGCAAACAAATGAATATATCAATGCAAAAACATAAAAATTGTTATTTTTACAAAAAAAATAGCAAAACAATAACTATTAAGATTAACTGGTTTCTTTACAAAAATATTTATTTTTTGACAAAATATTATGTATTTAAATATATTTTAAGTTTAACTGCATTCATATTCACGACATTCACAGAAAAATTATAATTATTTCAGTTGTTGTTTCATTCAAATCTTAACATATTATGAAAATTGTGTTTCAATTAATTATTTTGTAAACAATGCACAATATTTTACGATCATTTCGAAAATCATACAATAATCGGATAAAATATTAATAATAAATGTTATCTTTAAAAAGCATTTGCTTCATATGAACAGTTCAAACAATTTGATGTTTTCTGTAATACAATGAAAATTCAATTCAAACATGAATTACAATTTGCACATCAATTGAAGAAAATTCAAATGATTGCCAGATTTGCTTTTTATAGTCATTACGAAAACAATAGTTTATATACATTTAAATTTCAACGCAAAACAACATAAAAAATAATTGAATTCATTTTGAATAACCAAATGCTTAGCTAGCGATCAGAAAGTAGACTACACTTAAGATACGATAATTACATTTTGTTTGATGTTATAGTGAGTGAGAAATTGAGAGAAAAATTGAATATCAAAATGTATGTAAACTAATGGAGTGAAGAGG